TCTGATGTGTTGTAAAATCAATAAACTGGTAAAAATTTGCATTTCACCACTTCACATCATAACAGTTGTTATCAAGCAATTGAATAATATAAATAGCGTCTTAATCAGTGTTGTGTTCGTTGCATCCCAGTCGGCCCGAAGAGCCCTGGTATGGGGCGAAGCATCTCCTTAGCACTGGATGTAGCGTATATAATGAAAGTAAAAAAGATTTTTTTAAATATGTCAACCACACTTAATCAACTTAAATTAGTTCGCTTCATAGCAGTTGTTGTTCATTCAATTTGATAATACAAATAACGTCTCAACCATTACGATGTCGGCCATATCCTACCTGGTCTGATTAGGCCTGGTGTTGAGCAAAAGGCTTATATGGCACTGGATATGATATAATTTGGTTGATAATTAATAGTTCTTCAGAAATTGGATATTACATCACAATGTCTTTACACAGAGAGTTGAGTAATTTATATTTAAAACTATTTTGAAAATTAGCAAATCACTTGACAATCACAGACAGTATAAAGACACAGTGAAATAGCATGCATTATCACAAGTATATTTTGATATTATTTGGCATTTCGTAAGTAGTGTGATTCCACCGAAAATTTATCACCTTTTAGAAAGGTATATAACAGCCCTTTTCAAAGCAAAATATCCAAACACTTAAATCATAAGGATGTGTGAAGATTGGGGATTTAGATTTGTCAAGTGGGGAATATTACTGTATTTAATGACATTGAAAAATAAAGAAATATGGATCAAATTGGAAATGAAGGACCATCTAGAAAGGGACCTACGACAAGTCATGCTCAAACTGTGGTAAGAAAAGTGCAGAATTTTGTAACAGTTGAGAATCCAAAATCTGGCTATGTGCCTCAGACAACATTATGCAACATAATAAAGAGGTTATCCTTCTAATACGAGGCTATGAAACTACCGCTGAAAAAAACATCGCCATCGTATACTATGTTGATTATAGAAGGCATACAAGAAAGAGTAGTGTGCTTTAGACATGAGAATTCTACGATGGAGCCTTTTTCGATGGAAACTATACCTAATGAGTTATTATTATGATGCACAGTCGTCAGCTAGAATACCGCCAGACAAGGCGATATGAAATTTAACGATGTGGTGAGTTCCAAAGACGTTTTAATATTATGTATTCAAGTCTATGTATACATAACTTGCGAATACAATTATTCGAAATAAACATTTTTCAGCACGGCCTTCTTATCCTGCAAATAAACGTGATTGAGCTCAAGAAGAATTGCAAACCCTTGAAGATTGCCTCTATCCAAAATTGGCCAACACTAAATGACTTGCGTGCGTTAAGAGTTATTGGATGGTGCTTTACTATCTACATTTGTAAATTTGAAATAATTCACTGACATAACCTGTTCTCTGCACAAACTATTTGAAAAGCTAAATAAGTTTTGTTAGACTGCACATTTTGAACAAGTGTTTAACAAGCAGGAAAAAGAAATGTATTAGCATACATAACTGTTAAAGATCCACTTGTTTTAAATAGATATGCTAGTGACTTTTTGCCGTCAGCGCAGTGTTATCACAAGTACAACACGGAAAAGAACATATAAATGTAAAGGCATTGAATGCTGCAGAAAAGAGATATTGTACAACCCGAAAAGAGCAACTAAATGTTGCTCGAGCCCTAAGTCATTTCTATCATTACTTACATGGACAAATGTTTATACTCCAGACATATCTGCCAGCATAGAAGTGGCTGGTAAATTTTCAAAATACAAAAGGCCAAATAGCAGATGACTCTAGACACTTTAGAAGTATAACTTTAACATCATGTATCGTCCTGGATAGAATCATGGAAATGCTGACACATTATTCCAATGACCCTGTGTTAATGAAGAGTGTAAACACTGTGAAAAGAAGAGACATCAAGATAGTAAAGACGATCAACCTAAAGTATAGCAGAATATAATCTAAGATGTGGCATCCACAAGTGGTAAGAAAAACTAATCCAGTATAACACTTAACTGAAAAATGATTAGGATAAAGACACGAGTTATACATTGGTTCAAAAATAGTAAAGAAAAACTACAGCCCCAAAACAAAAATGTACTGGGCAATTTGGAATTTGTTATCTCTATAAGAGGATTTTTTATGTTGGAAACTTAAAAATGCCAGTGGACAGAAACAGCAATTACAGTTAATACTTTTTCAATCTCTATATACTGCAGCATTCCATCATCTTCATGACCTGCCAAAAAGCTGGACACTTTGGTGTTAAGAAGACTTTAGAGATAATAAGGTAGTACTTTTATTGGATTGAGTGTCGAGGATCTGTAGAGAATTGGTGTAAATCCTATTAATTAAGCTGTGAGTGTAAAGGTTCATAAAAGAAATATCATGAGCAGCTATTAATATATTGTGTTGAAGCACCAATGGAGAGAGTTACTGTTGATGTGCTTGGTCTTCTGTCATAGAGTAATAGTGAAAATAAAGACATCATAATTGTTTTGGACTATTTCACCAAGTGATCAGAAGCATATGCTGTTCCTAACCTGGAATCAGAAACTCTAATAAGGCAACTCGCCACTGACTTTGTTTCAAGATTTGGGGTATGTATAGAACTCCACTCAGATCAGAGATGGGAGTTTGAGTCAGCCTTGTATTTGTATTTGGAGGATAGTCACTCAGCAGAGTCTTACATAAAGTACACAGAGGGACAACGGAGCACCATTGAGGTCATACATGGCTTTACCTGGGAATAACTTAAATCAGCTGGTGATAAAATGAAAAAGTACTATGATGTTAATGTTGATAAGACTAAATTATCATTGAGGTGACATGATATGGATATACAATTCCTGCTGAAAGTAAGAACGAACTCTAAAATTAAATGGGTGTTGAGAAGGGTCATGTGTTGTACTGAAATAATCAGTGATGCAGTTTAAAAAATCTAGAAAATCAAATATCAAACCATAGGTCATCAAACATGGCTGTTTGTTAAAGTGTAACTCTAGAGAAGAATTTGTTAATGGAAAGTCAACCTGCTGAGGAACTCAGGGTTCCTGTAGAGACCACTTCCAGAGGACCAACAAGGATAGAGCCACCTGTGGAGTTGCTCAACCATCATCTCATGGATAATTCCTCAAGTGATGGGACAACAAATGACGATAATAAACAAGAGACCTCTCATTTGTATGTCATAACCTCTGGAAGAGAATGAAAGTTTTAGTGTCGTGTTTATTTTGGTATTGGGATTATTCTTGAGACTTCACAATCTAGGAAGGGGGCAGTTTTGTAAGCTATGTTTTCAACATTATAATTGAGAAAGGTCATTAAGTCCAGGTTAAGTAAATTCGACTAAGATCTAGATAGGCTCACTTGTTATAAATACATTTCTTTGGTTGTTTGTTTGTAATTAAGCACAAAGCTACACAATGGGCTATCTGTACTCTGCCCGCCACGAGTATCGAAATCCGGTTTCTAGCGTTGTAAGTTCACTATCTGCAGACATACTGCTGTGCCACTGGGGGGGGGGGGGTATAAATACGAGCGAGTAGTCAGTTCAAGAGAGTGTCAATCAAAGTGATGTATTTAATGAAAAGTTACTGCATCCATTCTGTTTTTCTGTTACCTGGTGAGTTACATCTCTATTAATCAAAGCTAAGCTAATTAAGTTATGTATACGTCTCACAGTTTATACTGAAACGTTGTATTTGAGGTTAGACATACATTTAGTTGTGGAGTTAGCACTGAAACGTTGTTTGTGCCCTCAGGCCTACAACTGCATACAAGTGATTAACCTTTAGAAACGTTATGAAAGGAATGAACTAGTTTTATTGTTAGATGGACTGAACTTCAGATACTTTTTACAAAGTAATCTAAAAACTATCAAATGACAGAAGTAATAACATACTTTACAACAATATATCAACCAATCATGGTGTCTTGAATTTTGACGGTTGACAACTATGTTCTCTATTGTTATATATTATTCACTGCTTGACCCAAGTTGGCTAATTCAAGCTTCTAACGTCCAGCCCATTTTCTAATGTTATTGTGCCAAGTGAGTTTCTGCCTCTCTCTTGCTATTCTTTCTTCAATTTTGCCCATCAGAATTCATACCCCCTTTCTCTCAGATCTAATTGTTTGCCAAAATTAGCGCATCTTCCTTTTCTCACGTATATCCTTCCAGACTCCAGCAATTATTTTTTGTATTTGTACGTTGGAATACTTTTTATTTCTATAAACCCAATGTTCGTCATTAGTCTGTAAGCTATTCAACTGTCCGTTTTCTTTTCGTAGAGTTGAATTTACCATATAACATACTAGTAGTCTCTTCTTGAATTCCAACTTACTATATCTTCGGAGCACTTTTTAAAGATTGAAGAATGCTGTTTGGCCACTTATATCATACGCTTTAATTTCCTCTTTTCCACATGTACTACCAATACTGATATTCTTCCATAAATAAGTATCAACTCCTCTACTTGTTTCAACTGTTTACCTTCTACTTGGATACGTATTTTGGCCATGTGGGTGCCAGGAGGATGTTATTTGGATAGTTTTAGATGGTAAGTGTAATGCCAAAGAGCCTCCGATAGAACCTTCACATCAGAAAGACATATCAGTACCAGTTGTATGTTGTAAAACGCTTTATCGAAGAAGGCATCAGCCAAAACAGTGGCAAAATAAGCAATTTTTCAGGAACTCAAGTAATTTCTATTTGTAAAACGAGTTATTCACACCGGTAATCACGACGTTACAAAAAACAAAACAACAACAACAATAAAAAACTAATGTTATAGCCGTTTTTTGATTCAATTGTTTATTTATTTATTTATATCAATTAATTACTTAATTATATATTGTATATAATCAAATAAATCAATAAAGGCAAAGATAAATTGGAATTTCACAGTTTAAATATTTCATGACAATTCGAGATTGTACACAAATATAAATGTAAACTTTTTAAAGTTTAAATTGTAAATGACTCCTTTATTTTATTTCAGCTGAATACACACAATGTGAACTCAAGAATACGAGTAAATCGTAGTACGTTATGGCGTCTAGTTCACGGTATGTCCTAAGCCTCATTTTAAAAAAATTGTAATACTAAGTTCAACTTTCAAATTTATTTATCATATTAATGTTTTCGAACCTGTGATACATAGGTTCGAGTGTTGAATATGTTTTACTTATGCTAAAAGACATTACATAAGGTTAAAATTGAATAGATAAATAATAAAACAAGAAACTTCTTAACGTTTTTAATAACGATTTATGTTAATTGTAAAATAAAGGCTTCACCACTTCGGACGACGGAAAATAATTAACAACTTATGACGTTAGAACTTAGAGCTTTTCTTCGAAGATCAAAATTAAATGATGTTTCATATTTTCTACAATTATTTAACTTAATCATAAACCCAGATTTAATACATAGGACTAATAATAATATAGTAATACAACTTACAAGTAATTATTAATACTACTAGTACTACTGCTAGTAATATTGATGTTTGCCTATTAATAATATTGAACTTCTTATTATCATAATAACTGTGAAAATATACTTTTAGTTTTTATAATCCGTTTAACTTACCTTAAGTTAAGTTTAATGTAGGTCTAACAAAACTTAACCTAGCGTAATTTTTATATTATAATTTCTAGTAAATCTGTAGATTTGGATCACCCTTTTTTAATTTAATCAATTATTACATTTATACGAGATACTTAAATTCATTTAATTTTGGAATTCTTTAATAATTGGAAAATATGAGATACTACAGTCTACAGTGATAAATATTTGAATCTAGTAACAATAGCTTAGTTAAGCCAAAATTAATAAAATATTTATATTCTAATACCAATCAACTTCAGATGATACCTCTTAATACCAAACTGCACGTTAAAACTAGTAAGTTGTACACAATGTCTGAAAATTTATATTATTTTCTTGTTTGATATTAGTTCATGTATGGCTGGTGTAAGGATGTATGCATTGAGGAGATTCACAGACTATGGGAAACATGTTTGCTGTCTCACTATAATATATAATATAGGCATTTCTTTCCACATGTGTCCTTTTATGCTGTGTTTGAACTAATGTTGACCTCTTAGAATACTATTAGGGCTAAATGTAGTGAATTTAATTGTAATGAGCCTATTCTATTGAGCAACAAATTTCAGCCCTTTGCTTCTACAAACAAGGAACTACTGCAGGGAAGGAAAACAAAAGGGTCAGAGAAGGATGTGATGAGGTGGTTATACTTATAGGTGATTCCTTGACAAGGCATGTGGATAGGATAGTGTGTGGGCTAAATATGGAGAAAATAATCAGATTATGCTACCAAGGATGTAACTGACAGAGGAGATATAACAAAGAGGGCTAGCAGAGATGCAGTTTTGTGGTACATGTAAGGAATGGTAGGTCAGAGGAGTTAATTGATAAGTACAAAATGTCCCTAAAGGCATTTGAAGAAAAGGGCCATAACTTAATTATGTTAGGGATACCACTGAAAATTAATTGTGGGGATGAAATTATAAATAGGTCACTAGCACTGAATGCTAAGCTTTTATTAATATGTAAGGATGAGCAGATTGGCTGGTTGGACTTGTGGGATCAGTTTAATGAGAGAAGGGAACTTTTTGGAATGGATGGTTTACATTTAAATAGAGTAGGGGCTGGCTTATTTGCAAGGGCTATTAACTCAGCTGTAAGGGAAGTTTTAAACTAGGACTAGATAGTGGTGAGGGCCAGGATAAACTAAATGCAAAAAGAATAAGAAGCAGAGAAAAGTGTAGCATAGGAAATGAGTATAGAAGTAGTAATAAGGGTAGGCTTAATTGTTACTGTTGTAATGCTAGAAGTATAAGAAATAAAATAGATGACTTTAGAGCACTGGTAGAAATGAAGGATTTTCATATAATGGGAATAACTAAAACATGGTTAAACATAGGTGATTTTGATGACAGAAATTTCTTTGAAATACAGGGTTACAGGCTATTTAATAGGGATAAAGTATTAAAGAGGGGGAGGAGTTGCTTTATATCTAAAGTGTGAGTTACGTCCTGTTGAAGGTGAGATAACAGCAAGGAGGTTGAATCCATTTGGGTTTCTATTAGTGGATATAAAAGGAAAAGGCTTTAGTGGGAATTTGTTACACACCAAATGATGCTGATGAAATTAGTGAGAAACTTTACAATGAGGTTAAGATTTCAGCTGTTAATGAAGTCATAATTATGGGTGATTTTAATTTCAGGCATATAGACTGGGAAATTCTAGAGTCAAACTATGAGGATAAAGGTTTTTGGAAACTGTTCAAGAAGGCTTTTTACACCAATTAGTCAAGGAACCTACCAGAAACAATGCTATTTTAGATTTATTGTTAACTTCAAATATAGAAATGATCGAGAGGGTGGAAATTGGTGAATGTCTGGGTGCAAGTGATCATTGCTCTATTAGATTCAATGTTTTGCTCCATATGGAGATAAGGAATAATGATATTTTGGTTATAAATTTCAAAACAAATTTTGAAGGAATGCAACAAGAATTATCTGTTGTGAATTGGACAGCTGAGTTATCTGGAGACACTGATCAGATGTGGTAATTTTTTAAATATTAAAGGTAAACACGTTCCTTATAGAAAGAAAAGGGTAGCTGCAAGTAAAAAACCAGGTTGGCTGACAAAGAGTATAAAAGATAAAATTAAAGGAAAGCATCATAAATTTAAGAAATTTAAATTGACTGGTATAACAGGAGATTTAGAGGATTGTAGAAGATCAAGAAAGTTGGTGAAACAGGAAAATAGGACATCAAAAAGGATTAGATATGTAAGCCACTTGCTACTATTTTTTATCAATCCTTGAATAGTGGGCAGGTACATGAGGATTGGAAATTAGCTAATGTAACTCTCCTTTTCAAGGGAGGTGATAAAAATTGTCCCAGTTATTATAGACCCATCAGTCTTGCTTAAGTTATGGGAAAAGTTTTGGAAAGTCTGATAAAAGATACTTTGCAAGGTCATTTAACAAAGTTTCACTAAGGGAAAATCTTGCTTTACAAATCTTTTGACATTCTTTGAAAAGGTTACTGCTTATCTGTATGAGGGTAAGAGTGTAGATTTGGTGTATTTGGATTTTCAGAAAGCATTTGACAAGGTGCCACATAAAAGGCTTGTAAAAAATATTATCTGTATAGGTGTGGGGGATAAGTTAGCAAATTTGATAGAAGAGTGGTTGGATGAAAGAAAGCAGAGGGTTCATGTAAATGGAGTGCAGTCAAACTGGATTAATGTCACAAGTGGGGTACCTCAGGGCTCAGTCTTAGGACATTTGCTTTTTTTGATTTACATTATTGATATAGATGAAAGAATGGTCAATAAATTACTTACATTTGCAGATGATATTAAGGTTTTAGGTGTTGCTATCTGTGAAGAAGATGTTGCTGCTTTACAAAAGGATTTAGATCATTTATTGAGTTAGGCAAATATATGGCAAATTGGTTTTAATTATAATAAGTGCAAGATAATGCATGAGGGTTATCACAATTTGAATTATAAATACAATTTGGATGGGAATAACTTTAATAGTGTCATGAAAGAAAGGGATCTTGGTGTAATGGTTGATCAGTCTCAGTTGATCAAATAGGATTTTAGGTTGTATTTACATAAATATGGAATACAAGTCTAAAGAAGTTATAATTTCATTGTGTCGGTCACTGGGTAGGCTACATTTGGAATATTATATTCAATCTTGGGCTCCTTACTTTAGGAAAGACATTGAATTGCTGGAAAGGGTTCAGAGAAGGGTTACTGGACTGGTACCTGGGTTGGAGGGGTTGTCATACGAGGACAGTTTGAAATCTCTCAAATTGTTTTCTCTTGAAAAAAGAAGAGTTAAGAGGGATCTGATTTATGTGTTTAAGATTGTAAAGGGAATTGATAGTGTTGATGCATCATCTTTTTTCATACTTAACAGTGGGAATAGTAGGACTAGGTGACACATATAAATTTTGGCAGGGTAGGAGTCATCTTCAACTAAAACAGTTTTATTTTTCTAACATGGTTGCCCTTTGGAATGAGTTGCCTTTGGATGTTGTGGAGGCAGTAAATTTAAGTGAGTTTAAGAGAAAGCTTAATAAATATATGAATAATAAGGGCTGGCTTTGAGGTTATGTTTTTTATATTAATTTATTAATAGATTTAGTTTAGAGAATGGAACAACCAAGTTGGCCCTATAGGTGCCATGTTGTCCCAAAACATTATTTTTTTACGTTTTGTTGCCATCATTTCCTCGTTGTTTCCTTTTCTGTGTGTTTTTCACTTTTAATTTTATTGTAAAAAAATGAGAAACATGGTAAAATATATTCTTATTTCCTTCAAGAAGTATATTCTCTTTCTTGTTTGTGTTTAGTATGACCCGCTTTGGTTATATTTATTCATTAAGCTCTACCACAATAAAACAAAGTTTTAATAATAATATTGTTAGTTAATATAATGATTTGTTGTTAAAATTTTCATCTGTGAGCAACAGCACATTTTACAAATGCTTAAGTCTTGTCTAACTGTTGTTGAATTGTAACTCACTGAAGTGTATAGTGTGTGATCTCAGGATGAGATGTGTATCAAAATATTAATAAAATGCATATCCAGAGTGAACTTTGTGCTAAGCTCTAATAGAACTGTTTGTGATGCAAAAATTTTTTTCAAATTTCTGTTTTACCTTGGCCTTGTGTCATGGTCTATTTGTTGGATTTGCACCATCTCAGTAGCAAAGTATGACTTCATCCAAAAATTACATCATCAGAGCTACTTTTTAAGATGTGCTTACTTCACAGTTTAGTGAATTGCTTAAGATACTATTTAACAGCTTATTGATTGTGCAAGGGAATATGGTGGACTTTTTGTAGGTGTGGACATAATATGTATATGAGACACAAAGGGAGATTTTTATTCAAAACAAGACTAGAAAATGGTTCTATTCACTATGTGTGTGTTTTTTATTGTCTTTTACTTTTATTAATTTTTTGCTATCTTGCTTATATCCTGTGATGCAAGGTCTTACAAATGATCAGC